GAATCTAAAAAAATAATAAGTTTTGTCTTTTGATTTTAAGTATTTTAACTTTTTAATAAAAATGATTATCATTTACATGTTTTGTGTTTTATGGTATAAAAAATATTTTATTAAGTTTAGCTAAATAATAATGAAGATGGACTCAAAAAAATATCTGTATCTAGGACTTTTATTTTTACAATCTTTAGTGGTTGGAATAAGTTATGCAGCTAAGGATAGTGAGACTGATCGGTATGAAAAATACTGTAAAAAGTATCCTAGAAGCCCAGATTGGGAGAATAAAAATGATTTGGTTAAATACTTTATTTTATTTCTTATTTTATAGCATTTTTCTTTTGGCCGGCTCTTTTTTGTATGGTGAGGTTCTTCTATACTTTGTGAAAAGAAGATCTATATTTAAGAATATTTTTATATTTTTAACTTATATCGCTTTTATATTTTTCACTGTATATCCTATTTTTTTAATGTTTGATTTAATTGAAGAATTTAGCTTGTATATTTTGAAAAATAATTATTTTTTATTCTTCGTTCTCAGCTGTTTTGTTTTTTCAATAATACCAATGTTTATGTGTTTCCGAAGAAAATACTTAAAAGATTTACAAACTTTTGGTTTATTTAAAAACTAAGTTTAAATAATGAAAGCGAAACTAAGATCACATTCAAAATAAGCCTTGTCTTTTATTCTAAATATTTGGGTCTTTGTTTTTGCAAATGAATATCATTTGAAAGTTTATGTTTTATAGTATAAAGTACTTTATAAATAAGTTTAACTAAATAATAAATATGACTTAATCATTTGACTGTCAAATTCAATCAGTATAATTCTAGCGCTGTTGGCTTGCGATAAGGATTTATGTAATTCAATTTTCAGAGCAACTGGTATGGATGCTCGTTGTAAAAATAAGTAAGCCTGATAGGGAGAAAATTTTGGAAAACGATGAATTAATACAAGCAGCCCGTGAGTTAGTAAAACAAGCTGTTCCAGACTATGAACAAGCTTATAAATTATTGACCTTGCTTATAAACAAGGATCTCCAGAGGCAACTTATGCCATTGCAACATGGAATTTACATGGCGGTCATTTTTTGAAACAAGATTATGTCAAAGGGACTAGATATCTAAAAAAAGCAACAAAAATGAAATGGCCATATGTGTTTAGCTTGAATACCGTTTATGCAATTGCTTTTGCACCAAAAGGAAGTATTGAGTGGTTAAAATTATATTTTGTATTTCCAATTTTAGTAACCTTCTATTTGATGGCTTTATTCTTACTTAAGCTTAAAAATAAATTTTAAAGAGGAAATTTTTGTGAGTGCTTAGAATGGAGGAAATAATATGAAAAAATTAATCTTTTATGTCTTCTTTATAGCTGTATTAGGAATTATAACTGTTATAGGAACAAAGATACTTCATAGTGAACAAAATAAGCAATATATAGAAAAAATTTTTCGTGAAGATATTAAAGTACAGAATAAATTAGGAGAAATACGGAACTATAGAATACGGAAAGTCGGAAAATTTTATGGTAATCCTCCCTATCAACAAGGCTATGATTATTATACTTTAAAGGTTAATGGTGAAAAGTCATCTGCTTTTATATATTTAAAGCTTTATAAAAACAACAATGGAGAAATAGAAAGCTATAAAGTGGAAATGGATGAATAGTAAAATAAATTTAATAAATTTTTTAATTAGATATTAAGTGTATTTTAAAAATAAATATTTAACTGTACTAATTTTTTTGATTTAAATTTCATCTAATAATTAAATTCTCATTTTGTGCTATTCATCACGCTTTTAATTTGGCTGATAAAAGATTATATAAGGCAAGCTGGAATTAAATTTAGAGAAATCAGATGTAGTATTTAGATATTTAAATTTTCTCTCTGCTTAATATAATCTTTATCGAATCAGTATGTTTAGACACGAATCATACTTTTACTATTTATATCCTCCATCCAGTCATTTAAATCCAAATCGTTGGTAAATGAATGTTCACCATCAATCTTAAAGACTAACAGAGAGTCATGAATGCTAATAATACTCGCTAAATGTTGGCGAATGATGTTGGCTTCATAGCTTGTGTTGATCAGCCAAGTGGAAGGGTTCACCCGAATTGAAGCATCATAGTCACAGATGAGCTTATGGACTTCATCTAAATGATGTACTTGTGAGGAATTTAGAATAATCAAATAATTCATATTAACAACCTCCATAAAAGAGATTTAGACAAAATAACTTTTATTATGAAATGTGATAAGTATCACGATTTATTCAATCTAACATCAAAGTATTTTGATCAATTGAAAAAATGTCGGACAATCTAAAGCTGAATTTTGATGATGTGTTAGATTTTTTTATTGTATTGTTCAAGAAAATTCTTAGTGGTTATTCCTTTTGTTACATAAAAAGCAATCAAAATTTTTAAATACTGGCTAAATTGAAGTATGATTAAGTTTAAAATATTTAAACAATAAGCTCATCAAAAGATGGGCTTTTTTGTCTTACCCTCTCTGTGTTATAAAGTTTGAGGCTTAAAATGCTGGTTAAAATAGAAGATGGTTTTTACCTAAATTCACTGCATATTATCGCGATACATGTTTCTAAAGATATGATTACGCAAAATTTTTCTATAAGTATAGAATATACACCGCACAATCAAAATGCCAATGGCTTATATCATAAAAAGTGCCAGACCAAAGCTGAAGCGGATTTATTTTTGCAAACTCTACATCAGCAAATCGCGCAAATATAAATTTAAATTTTTTAGTTGTTTTTTGCATTGAAATTAAAAGAAAAGGAATTCATTTTTTAAGCTATATTAGGCTCACAATTGAATGTATCGATAATGTGAAAATCACAATGATTGAACATTTTTGAGGTCAAAATGCATAAACTAAAAATTCTTTTTTGTACACTTTCACTATTCACACTGTCTGCCTGCCAAAATGTGCAAAAAAATAACAAAATCATTGCCAAGGTATTTGATACTTCAACACATTTTCAACGCTATCTGATGGATAAACATGCGCCAGAGAATGTCATTGTTACCCATAATATAACTTACCAAGAACAACCAAAACTCAGTTTAGATCTCTATCAGCCAATAGATATTCAACAATTTGAAAAACGCCCAACAGTGATCTGGATTCATGGTGGTGGTTGGATTTCAGGTGCTAAAGATAATGCAAGAGGATATTTTAAACTGCTCGCAGCACAAGGTTATAATGTTGTTTCTGTGCAATACCAATTTGCACCGCAAGCAATTTATCCAACGCAGTTGTATCAAATCAATAATGCACTACGATTTATCCAGCAAAATGCAAAACAATACCATATAGACGCTCATCAATTATTTTTAGCAGGGGATTCGGCTGGGGCCAATTTAGCCAGCCATTATGCAGCGCTTCTCACTAACCCAAATTTTGCCAAAGAATCTGGATTTACAGCCTCGATTCAAACTTCACAACTTAAGGGTTTAATTCTGCATTGCGGAATTTATGATATGAATGCCTTTATCAATACAGCACCAGATGAAATCAAACTGATTGAATGGGGGGTAAATAACCTTGTTCAAGCTTATACAGGTAATCAAAAAGACAATCCTGAATATTTAAAACGTTTATCACCTATACAACATCTTACCAAGGATTATCCGCCTGTATTTATAAGTGGGGGGAATAAAGATTTTCTCACAGATACGCAGTCCATTCCTTTTGTAAAAGCTTTGCAAGAAAAGCAAATCCCTGTTCAAGCTGTTTTCTACCCTGAATCAAAAGAATGGTTGGTCCATGAATATCAATTTTTCTTGGGCAAAAAGGCGAGTCAGCAAACATTTGATCAAACTATTTTGTTTTTGAAGAAAAATGTTGATTCAAAATAAACTCAAAAAATAATGATTTAAACTGAATTGTCATAAAAGCATGTTATAAAAAATAAAATTGTAGTGAGAAATGAAAGATGGAAATCAGTGTAAAGCAAATCAACAAGCGTATAGATGAATTTCAAGAGTCAAGTAAGAAAGCATCAACTTTAGAAATTGGCTATAAAACTTATGCTAAGTTAATGAATGAAGATAAATTTGCAGACGCACTCAAGAAAGATCCAAACAACACAATGGTTCGCTACTACAAAGATATAAAAATTAAATTGGTCACAGAAAAACACCATTTTGAGGTGAAATAAGCCTTTTAATAAATAGAATAACAATTTTTAAAATTTACAACTCAAGGAATGAGTGTAAATTTTTTTATCATATTGCATGAGAAAAAGTAATATATCTTTTAAACACTTACTTGATCCTATAGTGATCACTTTTGCCTGTTAAAATCAAAATTTAGTACATATAAAACATTGATATATGCTCTTATTGTTAAACACAACTTGTAACAAATCCCGATAAATCCTTTGTTTTTTATTCACATTTTTTGGATGGTGTATCTAAATGTTTCATTTTTTTGATTTTTTTATCATGTGTTTAAAACATTAAAAACATATTTTGTTAAGATAATCTAATGAGTTTTAATGCTTTCTAATCAATAGGGTGGTGGTCTGATTATTGTGATATTGTTATCAAAATCTACAGAATAACTGAATAAAAACAACTATATGAGAATACTTATCATTTATAATGAATCTTTTTAATATCTATTCATGCTGTAAAAGTAGACGTTTAGACTCATTTTTTAAGTGTTTTTTAATTTAATCAGGCTTAATGATCTTACAAATTGTGACAAAATATATTAGAATAAATGCTGGTTTATTTTGTGACGAAAAATAATGGAAATTTTAAACTTTATAAAGAGTTTCAACACGGTAAACACTTATTTAATTTTGGCGATAATTGCCTTGTTGTTTATAATTTCATTTTTCTACTTTATTCACCCAACCTGATTAAGTAGAAAATTGAAGAAAAGAGGCGAGTATCATATTGATAACTCGTCTTTTTTTATAAAAATAGTTTTTATCAAAGTGATGTTGCTTTTTATTCATCAAATTTAATGCGTGAGATTTCGAATAGTTATAGATTGTATTAAAAATTGAATTTATATAACATACCAACCAAATGGTATCTTTTGATGAATTTATGAATTCTATTGTTTTTGCCTATAGTTTGTTGGCGGTCGCTATCATCGCTGAAGTAACAGGTTCAACATTCTTAGTGAAATCGCAAGGCTTCACAAAGTTAGTCCCGAGTTTACTGGTGGTATTTTTTTATGTGATTTCTTTCTATTTACTGTCTCAAGTGATTAAAACAATTCCATTGGGTATTGCTTATGCAATTTGGGCTGGTGTTGGTATTATCCTCACTGCTTTGGTAGGTTACTTCATTTTCAAACAAAGCTTAGACTTTGCTGCAATTGCAGGTATTGGATTAATTATTTCAGGTGTATTAGTGATTAACTTATTTTCAACATCAGCAGGACATTGATAAAAGCACGAAGCAGGTAAGATTTGAGTATGGATAAAATTGTAGAAAATGCTTATCAACGCAAAAAAGATCCTGAAGGTGTTAAAAAATTAATTTTAGCTAACACGATGAGTTTAGTTGCTGAACATGGTGTAAATGGCGTATCTATACAAAGTATTGCAACGCGTTCAGGTGTAACTAAAGGTGGTGTATTTCATCATTTTGCCAATAAACAAGTTTTGATTGAGGCTATGTTGGAAGAGTTGATCCAACAACTGGACCAGCAAGTCAGCCTAGCAATTGAAAAAGATCCAGTTACTTATGGCTGTTTTACTCGCGCATATATTGATGTCACCTTAAGTTCTTCATTTGGGGTCAACACGGTATGGAGTGCTTTAAGCATGACATTGATGACAGATAAATCTTATAGTGAGAAGTGGGACCAATGGCTGAAACGGCGATTGTCTCAACATGCTGAAACGGATGATTCTGCCACATTAAAAATATTACGTTATGCAGCGGATGGGGCATGGTTTGTTGAAAGCCTCTCCCCAAAAATGCAAGATGATTATGAGGAAATTAAACAGGAATTATTGTTAAGAACTTATCCTGAATAGTGATTCATTTGCTCTGCTTTGTAAGCAAAACCAATAGCTACAGACCAAAATAAAAAAACCAAGCCAAATGATATTGGCTTGGAATGGAAAACTTTCTTTAAACTAGGTTAAATCATTGCTTTATGATTTATTCACTGCCTAAAGTCATTAAACTTGCATTTCCGCCTGCAGCCGCAGTATTGATACTGATTGCACGTTCAATAAGTAATGGTGCAAGTGGAATAATTGTATTGGCATCCGCTAAATGAGTTATGCCAACAATTGCACCTTCACGTTGCGCAATCAGAGTTTGTAATTCTTTTAGACCAGCACCTTGATGTAAAACAGCATCAAACTCTCCAACAGCCACATCATTGATCATCGAAAATTTTTGTTGCAACGCTTTTGGCATACTTTGAATCATTTTTAAAGCAATCGCATCGTCACTTAAAATACAGACTTGCGCATTGAGAGACAAAATTGCATTAAATTGATTCAGCAAAGCCTGTTCTTGTTCTGCGATTGCCAATATCCGATGACGTGATACAACATGATATTGATTCAATTCACCTGTTGGACCTGGAAGCTCATATAAGGCAAGCGGTGATTGATACTGATGCATAGCCCATTGCGAATGATGCTGTTTTGCCCAAGTGTGAAATTCTGTTTGAATCTCAGATGGTTTTAGATTGAGCTGTTCCGAAATATTTTTTACAGTACCAAAAGGGCGATTGGGTAGGGCTGTATGCTGCATTAATTTATATAAATAAATCGGACCACCAGCTTTAGGCCCTGTTCCTGACAAACCTTCACCACCAAAAGGTTGTACGCCTACAACGGCACCTACAATGTTACGGTTAATATATAAGTTACCCACTTCCGCATGTTCAATGGTGGTTTGAATAGTTTCATCGATACGTGTATGTAAACCCATGGTTAGGCCATATCCTTTTGCATTGATATGTTCTAACAATTGCTTTAATTCACCATATTTATAGGTAATGACATGCAATACAGGTCCAAAAACTTCACGTTTTAAATCATTCAGATTTGGAAGTTCAATCACCGTCGGGACAATAAATGTGCCTGCATTTAGATCAGATGTTGGTGTTTCATAAGCAAGTTGATGTATTGCATAGCCCTTGCTACGCATCATTTCGATATGCTTTTCAATATTTTGCTTCGCTTCACCATCAATCACAGGGCCTATATCTGTTTTAAGCAAAATAGGTTGTCCAATGTTGAGCTGTTGCATGGCACCTTTAAGCATCTTAATCAAGGTTGCTGCATTGTCTTCTTGAACACACAATACACGGAGGGCAGAACAACGTTGACCAGCACTATCAAATGCTGAGTTTACTGCATCGATCACAACTTGTTCCGTCAGCGCAGAAGAATCTACGATCATCGCATTTTGACCACCTGTTTCAGCAATCAACGGAATCGGTTGACCTGTTGGGCTTAGACGTTGTGCAACGGTTTTTTGTAAAATCTTAGCAACTTCAGTGGAACCTGTGAACATAATGCCTTGAATACGTTCATCTTGGCTGAGTTTTGCCCCGACTGTTTCACCACGACCAGGAAGTAATTGTACAACTGATTTTGGAATTCCTGCTTCCCATAAGATTTGAATCGCTTGCGCTGCAATTAATGGGGTTTGTTCAGCAGGTTTAGCAATTACGGTATTTCCTGCAACAAGTGCTGCCGAAATTTGTCCAGTAAAAATTGCAAGCGGGAAGTTCCAAGGGCTGATACATAAAATTGTACCCAGTGGGCTGAGTGTGCGATTTTCCTCAATGCTTTGCATTTGTGCTGCATAGTATCTAAGGAAATCAACGGCTTCACGTACTTCAGCAATACCATTACTATAAGTTTTACCACTTTCACGGCACAGTAAAACCATCAGCTCCTGAATACGCGATTCCATAATCGTAGCAGCTTTGAGCAATAACTCTGCACGAAAATCTTGAGATGCATTTTTCCAATTTTCAAAAGCTTGATGAGCGTTATCTAAGGCCAAATCGACTTGTGCTGTTTCTGCTTCGATCACATAACCAACTAGATCTGAATGATCAGCTGGATTACGGATTTCTTGCGAATTTATTTCAGCTAAGTCTTGTAAATCAAGCTGATCGACAAGGCTATAACTGTTCCACTGGTGTTTTAAATAGTGTTGAACAGTTTGATTTAAATCTTGTAATTTACTGTCATCAGCTAAGTCTAAACCTTGAGAGTTTTGGCGTATGCCTTGATATAAATCATGAGGAAGCGGAATAGCAGGGTGTTTTAACCCGACTGCGTGCTCTTTTTCTGCAGTATGTAAAATCTCTTGAACTGGGTTTTCAATCAAGTCTTCAATTTTAATATTTTTATCTGCAATACGGTTAACAAATGAGGTATTCGCACCATTTTCCAATAAACGTCGAACCAGATAGGCCAATAAGGTTTCGTGATTACCGACAGGCGCATAAATACGACATGGAATCCCTAATTTCTGATCTGAAACCTTGCCTACCACTTGTTCATAAAGTGGTTCACCCATGCCATGTAAGCATTGGAATTCATATTGACCAAGATAATATTTTTGTGGATCTGCTAACTCATAAATAGTGGCAAGTGTTTGCGCATTATGTGTTGCAAATTGCGGATACACCTGATCAGGCGCAGCCAATAGTTTTTTTGCACAAGCAATATAAGACAAATCTGTATGCACTTTACGGGTAAAGACTGGGTAGTCAGACATACCGTCAATTTGTGCTTTTTTGATTTCACTGTCCCAGTAAGCACCTTTGACCAGACGAATCATTAAACGTTTTTGACTACGTTTTGCCAGATCAATAATATAATCCACCACATAGAAACAACGCTTTTGATAGGCTTGGATCACAAAGCCTATACCTTTCCAGTTTGCCAGTTGTGGCTCAAAGCATAAACGCTCAAGTAATTCTAAAGACAGCTCTAAACGATCCGCTTCTTCTGCATCAATATTGAGACCAATATCATAGGTTTTAGCTAAAAGTGCTAAATTTAAAATACGAGGATAAAGTTCATGATGCACACGTTCGGTTTGAGAACGTTGATAACGTGGATGTAAAGCCGAAAGTTTAATTGAAATTCCAGGGCCGGTATAAACATCTTTACCTTCAGACGCTTTACCTATGGCATGAATCGCTTGTGTATAGTCTTCGAAATAGCGATCTGCATCGTGTTCAGTCAGTGCTGCTTCACCAAGCATGTCATAAGAATAACGGAAACCTTTGTCTTCAAGAGTTTTGGCATTGTCCAAAGCCTCTTCAATGGTTTCACCAGTAACAAACTGTTCACCCATCATACGCATTGCTGCATCAACTGCTTTACGGATGATGCCTTTACCCGTACGTGCTAAGAGCGAAGTGAGGATCCCCGAAAGGCTGGTTTGTTTAGGTGTTTCCATCAGTTTGCCAGTCAGCATGAGTCCCCATGCAGCAGCATTAACAAACATGAGATTACTTTGGCCTAAATGATCTTTCCAGTTACCTTGATTAATTTTATCGCGAATCAATAAGTCTCGGGTCGCACTATCAGGGATACGTAACAAGGCTTCAGCCAAGCACATCAATGCGATGCCTTCTTGTGAAGACAATGAAAACTCTTGCAGCAGACCTTGTACGATACCTGCTTTGCCTGACGAACTTTTACGGTCACGTAAGCTATGCGCTAAGTTAAATGCAATGTCATAAATTTTCTGATTCATTTCTTCAGAAATTTGAGTGTGCTCAAGTAAGTTTTCAACGCATTCCGATTCAGTACGACGCCACGCATGATTGATTTCTTCTTCAAAATCAGTTTTGTCTTTAAATTCGGTAATGTAATCCAAACTTGGAAGTAGGTTTGCATTTAAAACTTGAGGTGAATCCATATTCATTGTCAACGTCCTGTGACTAGCAAATATTTTTGTTGAGCAGATGGGTTTATATAATTTATGATTACAGAATATTTAGTGAATAACTCACTATAATTTGAATAATATTTAGAGAATTATTCTATGGAAAGTGCTTATTTAAGCTTGGATCGTATAGATATTCGGATTTTGGATATTTTGCAAAAAGATGGAAAAATTTCCAATATTAAGTTGGCTGAAAAAGTTAATTTATCTCCAACAGCCGCGCTTGCTCGGGTGCAGAAATTGACAGGTGAAGGATTTATTTTGGGCTATGAAGCAAAACTAAATCCGAAAATGTTAGGCGCTAATTTTGTGGTATTTGTTGAGATTCTTTTAGACAAAACTACACCCAATGCTTTGGATGCTTTTTCAGATGCAATCGTACAATATCCAGAAATTATGGCATGTCATATGATTAGTGGTGGTTTTGATTTTTTAGTGAAAATTCGGTGTGCAGATATGGAGGAGTTCCGTCGTATTTCAGGGCAGGTCCTGTGGCAATTGCCTGGGGTAAAGGAAACGCGTAGTTATCCAGTGATGGAAGTGATTAAAGACAGTTCACAATTACATTTAAATTTTAAAGCGAAAGTAAAGAAATAGAAAAGGGGCATGAATGCCCCTAACTCTAATGATTTATTCAAACATTTGAATTTACATATTTTTCATTTCACGGTTATAAATTTGCTCAGCATTTTCAAAACGATCAATTACTTCTTTTTCAGGGGCTTTGTCCATTAAACTGACCACAATGATGCTGATGAAAGAAAGCACAAAGCCTGGCACGATTTCATATAAACCAGTATGCGCCATGGTGTTTTTCCAAACAATTACCGTTACAGCACCGACAATGATACCGATCAATGCGCCATTTAAAGTCATACGTTTCCAAAACACAGACAATAAAATAAGTGGACCAAATGCAGCACCAAAACCAGCCCATGCATACGCCACTAGACCAAGTACCTTGCTTTCTGGGTTAAATGCCAAAATGATCGCGAGTACTGAAATGGCTAAAACCATTAAACGACCGACCCAAACCAACTCATTTTGTGAGGCTTTTTTGCGAAGAAAAGATTTATATAAATCTTCAGTCAATGTGCTTGAGCATACCAAAAGCTGACAGCTTAAGGTGCTCATGACAGCGGCTAAAATAGCGGCTAAAACAACACCAGCAACCCATGGATTAAATAAGATTTTGGTTAATTCCATAAACACTGTTTCTGGATTTTTTGCCACAATTGCAGCTGACGGAATATCAGGATGTGCTTGGAAATAAGCAATACCAACATAACCTACAGCAACAGCGCCCGCTAAACATAGAATCATCCACGCCATACCAATACGACGAGCATTAGGAATGGTTTTCACTGAATCTGCTGCCATAAAACGGACTAGAATATGCGGTTGTCCAAAATAGCCTAAGCCCCATGCCATTGATGAAATGATGGCGATAAAACTGACCCCTTGGAACATATTTGCTGCATGTGGACGTGCAGTTTCAATCAATTGATTGACATGTTGTAAATCACCAACTGCCAAGAAAGTCATAATCGGTGCCAACAGTAATGCAAAAATCATCAAGCCCGCTTGAAATGTATCTGTCCAACTGATCGCAAGAAAGCCACCAATACACACATAACTGATGGTTGCAATCGCACTGACCCAAAGAGCAGTGGTGTAGTTCATCGCAAAAATACTTTCAAATAAACGTGCACCTGCCACCATGCCTGAAGCACAGTAAATACCAAAGAAGATTAAAATGACCAGCGCAGAAATGATACGGATCACTTTCTTTTTATCACCAAAACGGCTGGTGAAATAATCTGGTAATGTTAATGCATTATTTTGTATTTCAGTATGGACACGTAAACGGCCTGCGACCAAATACCAGTTGAGCCAAGCACCAATAATGAGCCCAATTGCGATCCATGATTCAGATAATCCAGTCAGGTAAATTGCACCTGGGAGTCCCATGAGTAGCCAGCCACTCATATCCGATGCACCTGCTGAAAGTGCAGTGACAAAACTCCCTAAACTTCGACCTCCCAAAATATAATCTGAGAAATCGGTGGTTTTTCTATAGGCATATAAGCCAATACAAACCATTGCAATGATATAAAAGATAAACGTGACAACTGTGGGGTTGAGTGAGTCCATATTTAATTCAGTCCTTGTGGAGTAAATCTCCAAGTTTTATTTTTTATCGCATAAGTTTCACGAGCGAATTCTTTCACACAACTAAAAAATATCGCTGTGATTTTTATAAGGTGATTGTGCAAGATTTATGTATCCGATTGTAACTTTAGATACAAATGCAAAAAATCAGCAATTTATATCCAAAAAAATTCTACTGGGAGTGTTTAGAGACTGTGGGATTATACTTTACGCAAAGTTACATTGTTAACATTTAATTGATAATTCCATAAAATTGTTTATCGAAATGACATATTTTGCTAGTACAAAAGCAGATAAGAAGGAATATTATTGTAACTGCACAACTATAGTGCATAAATATATAATGAGCAGATCACATGGAAACGGTTCAACCTGAAGTTACAAGAATAGAAAAAGATTTATTGGGAAGTAAAGAAGTTCCTATAAACAGTTATTATGGTATTCATACAATTCGAGCTTTAGAAAATTTTAATATTTCTAAACATACCGTCGGTGAACAAAGCTTTTTTATCCGCGCTTTGGCTCAGGTCAAAAAGGCCTCGGCACAAACCAATTTGCAATTTAATAAGATCTCTGAAGAAATCAGTGTAGCGATTCAAAAAGCAAGTGATGAACTGATTGAAAATCCGCAAAATTGGAAAGATGCATTTCCATCAGATGTCTACCAAGGTGGTGCGGGGACATCGATTAATATGAATACCAATGAAGTCATTGCCAATATCGCGTTAGAGTCTTTAGGTTATGCGAAAGGACGTTATGACATCATCCATCCAAATGACCATGTCAATAAATCTCAATCGACCAATGATGTCTATCCCACTGCATTACGTTTAGCAACTTACTATTCACTGGATTTGTTATTTGAAAAAATCAATAATTTGATTAGTTCACTGACATTAAAATCTGCTGAGTTTCAGTATGTGTTAAAAATGGGACGGACCCAGTTACAAGATGCTGTCCCAATGACATTAGGACAAGAGTTTCATGCCTTTGCGACATTACTCAAAGAAGATGTTCGTCTAATTAAAAAGACCCGTGAATTTTTATTAGAAATTAACTTAGGTGCTACTGCGATTGGTACAGGGGTAAATACGCCACATGGTTATGCTGCGCAGGTCAATGAAAATTTAAAAGCCTTAACAGGTTTAAATTTAATTGGTGCAGAAGATTATGTTGAAGCGACCAGTGACTGCGGTGTATTTATTATCCTTTCAAGCACCTTAAAACGTTTGGCTGTAAAACTCTCGAAAATCTGTAATGACTTACGTCTATTAAGTTCTGGCCCAAGAACAGGTTTATGGGAAATTCGCTTACCTGAATTACAAGCTGGTTCATCGATTATGCCAGCGAAAGTCAATCCTGTGATCCCAGAAGTCGTCAATCAAGTTGCATTTAAAGTGATTGGTAATGATTTAACCATTACCTTTGCAGCAGAAGCAGGCCAATTACAGTTAAATGTTATGGAGCCTGTGATTGCGCTTACCATGAATGAATCAATTGAGTTACTGATCAATGCGATTCAAACCTTGGATGAGAAGTGTATTCAAGGTGTGGTTGCCAATGAAAAAACCTGTTTTGATGCTGTGATGCGTAGTGTTGGAATTATTACCTTACTTGATCCAATTTTAGGTCATGCGAAGTGTGATGAAATTGGGAAGCAATGTATTGCTGAAAATAAAACCATTCAAGAGGTTGTACTTGAACAAGGTTTATTGAGCCAAGAACGTCTAGATGAAATTTTCTCTTTTGAAAATATGATTTCAGAAATTGCAGTACAGCCATATGAAGAAATCGGTAAAGCGGGCTAAGTGTTTAAACTGCACCTGTTGATCTATATATAAAAACTTTGATAAATACAGCATTTAGATGCTGTATTTTTATGCATGGTAAAAAAAGTAAAGTTTCTTTATAATTCAACAAAATTTAAAATCACCAACAAAAGTCAATAATCTATGAATAATAAACATTTAATTCTCGCCTTAAGCTTGGTACTTCTTTCTGGATGCGCGAAAAAATCGGAAGAGGCAGCTGAAAGTTCTGCGTCTGCTCCAGATACAGAAGTCGTTGCTCAGGATGCTGCACAAGCTGCTGATGCCGCAGAAAAAAGTACTGAGCAAGCTGCTGAAAATTCTGTTGATACCACACCTGTGACTGAACAAAAACCTGAAACTATTTTAAGTACCGATGTCAGTCAAGCAGAAAAAGCACGTCGTATGGTGCGTGAAGCTCAGGTTAATTTCACAGCTAAAGATGTGGTGAAAACTGCTTTAGAAATTGATAAGCTCACTTTTCAAGCGGGCGGCTTTATAGAGCAGAAAAATATCAGTTTTGATGTACTCGATGTAAAAACACAAAAAATTGCGGATGGTAAAATCCGAGTTTTTGAAAAAGTTGATCCGCATGCGGAGATCATTGTCAGAGTACCGAGTGATAAAGCTGCGGTATATGTCAATCAGTTATTGCCATTGATGTACTTTTTAAATCAACAACAATATTCTGCTAAGCGTTTTGAGTTAAAGCTTTTAGAAGAAAAAATTGGACAAACTCAAAGCGTTCCAAGTGATACCAAACAATCACAGCTGAATGAAATTTCCCGTTTAACCCAACTTGAAGTTCAAGATCGGGTACGTTTTAGCACGATTAGTATTGCCATTAAGCAACCTGCAATGGTGAGAGAAAGTCTGGATGTTGATGTTGCTGCTGTGGCACGCTTAAACGGTGATAGTTTTTGGAAGCGTGCTTGGGAAGGTGTTCAATATGGCTGGCAATTTATTTTGGATTTATTGGTTATTTTAGTCACCATTTGGCCACTTTATTTACTGGTATTTCTTGGCTTGATTATTTATCGAGTGATTAAGCCTTTAATGAATAAATTATTTGATGATTCATCTTCGACTAAACCTTCTAAAGATGTAAAAAAAGATCAGATGAATTCTACAGATGATAATGCATGATTTTACTTAGTGCTATGCTGTAATTTTTAAAGCCAGTGCAATTGCACTGGCTTTTTAATGTGTTGTCAGTTTTTCAAAAAGCTGTTGCATTCCTTCAGTCGCACTCATTTTTAAACATTGGTATTGTTGGGGAACACGCTCATAACTGGCTTGTGGATCAATATAATACGCATCACTGTATTCTGGAATCTCGTGAATCAAACCTGCCACAGGGTAGACGGTCAATGTCGAGCCAATAACAATAAAAATATCAGCATCACGGATCATCTGTACTGCTTCTTCATACGCAGGAACCGCTTCACCAAACCAAACTACATGAGGTCGAAGTGGAAACCCTTCAGGACATTTATGTTGTTCTAGGTCCAATTGCCAACCATCTATAGGATAAAACTCATTTGTGTACTGCGCATTGGGTTTAGAACTTTTAGCAAGGCGGATATTGCCATGTAAATGAATAACCTGTTGGCTTCCTGCACGTTCATGCAGATCATCAATATTTTGAGTAATTACAATGACATCAAAATGTTGTTCGAGTTGAGCAATGATATCGTGTGCTTGATTGGGCTGAGCATTGAGAATATGTTGACGTCGTTCATTATAAAAACGTTGCACCAAGGCAGGGTTGCGCTGCCAAGCTTCAGGTGTAGCCACCTCTTGAATATCATAATTCTCCCATAAGCCATTACTATCTCGGAAAGTGCTGATTCCACTTTCTGCACTCATTCCTGCACCTGAGAAAACTACAATTTTTTTCATAGGATAAACAATTAAAATTTTTAAAATCCTAACATAAATATTGTGAAATATGAGTGAAACGTATTTTCTTAGAATTAATTTGTTATAAAATAACAGCAAGTCATACTTCGATCATTTCGAATATTTTTTATAAAAATCAAATGTACTAGAAATAAGTCAAAATGGAACAGCATGGAAACACGTGATATTGTCAATGCCCCTGAAGTGAAAAAAACAATTGTAGAGCGTAGTCAACGCCGTAAAGATGATCCAGAAATTACTCAGTGGTTTGAAAAAAAATTCTTTGAATATGTGATTAAACAATTCAATCCAGTTTTTTATGTAAATTCGGTTTCTGCTTGGAAAATTTGTCAACTTCCGCAGCCTATTCCTACATGGTTTTTGAAAAAGCTTGAACAACAGCCAGAACATCAGATGTTATATGTTGATCCTTTACATGAACAGATTTTGGAACTGGAAAAGCCCATTTTAGAGTTTTTTAATTCGCGTTTAAAAAGCAATTTAAAAGGCAAATTCATGAAAATGACCTATGAGCAAGTGTTAGACGCTTGGCATAAAGATCATGAAGCAATGAAAAAGCGTTTAGAAAAAGGGCAATGGGACAGCAGTGAGCAGGCAATTGATGAAGTTTTAACTGTAAATACAGGCAAGTTTATTGAAATTACGGCAACAGGAATGTTGTTGCGTAAGGAAATGGCTTTTGAATCACGTTATATGCAGCACTGTTTAGGGCAGTTTAGCAACCTGATTGAATTGAAAGATGGCTATGGTGAATACTATGTAACGCAAAAAGAGCAGGGAATATTTCGTTATTTTAGCTTAAGGGATTCAAGCAATAAGCCACATGTTACCATCAGTTTAGAATGGGATGGTGAAGTGTGGTGTATTGAGCAGATTAAAGGTAAGCAGAATCAAGCACCAGTTAAAAAATATGCAGATGATGTCTTATTATTTTTAAATCATATTCTACCAAATAATAATCATAACCCAGATTGTTTAAGCATGGGGATCGTCTATGAACCTGAGATAAATGAGGGTTCAACGGATCATGTCAATCAAGCCTTGTATTTTTATTTTCATGAATTGGATGATCCTTGTAAAATTGAAACGTTATTGATGAAAAATCAACATTTATTGGAACAATATGATCATCAAACCCATGTGATTCAGCATCTTTTGCTGGGACTAAATCGTCCAGAACATATCAGGCACCCATCAGAAAAATATATAGAAGAGATCGTTGCTTATACAAATCAACAGCAAGCTGAGAAAAAAATTGATTTAAATGTTTTTTATATATTTCTGGATGCTGTTCAAAATGCGCTAAAGTTAAGCTATCCACCTGATACCATTGAATATGATTACGAAAATAAATCAGATCACCAGTTGCAAGCATCCATTGCTTACGATTGTCCTGCTTTAAATTTAACAACACCCAAGGCAAGGCAATGATATAGACGATAATTTTAATCATCCAGCCCAGCAATGGAATCTTGCTTAATTCATATAAAGTCTGAATCAACCAGAAATAAGGCTTAAAGATCACGCTCCACAGCGATTTGTTTGACTTTGCTTGACTTAACTCAACCTTTAAATCAAATTTTTTCTCAGCTTGCTGTTGATTTGTATAAGCAACGATCTCTTCTATATATTTTTCTGATGGGTGCCTGATATGTTCTGGACGATTTAGTCCCAGCAAAAGATGCTGAATCACATGGGTTTGATGAAAATGGATGCTTGCAACTGGTGATCTGATTTATTTTCGTAATCATATTCAATGGTATCAGGTGGATAGCTTAACTTTAGCGCATTTTGAACAGCATCCAGAAATATATAAAAAACATTTAAATCAATTGTTAAATATCAAACAGAAAAAAGTAGGCTCTAAAGAGAAACAGATTCGTTATTTTTTAAATCAATATTTTCAAATCGCTCAATTAGAAAATCTTTATTCAAGTAGTGAATTTGGTACTGCAAGTTATTTAAGAGATATTTTGGTGTTTAGCCATATTCAAAAAATATTTACTATACGGTTATTGGTGCAGTTCTATGAATTACAGGAATATGATGCATGGCAATATATTGTTGCTTCATCGAAGATTATTCAAGACTGTTGTTCTAGCTGGCAGGATATGGGCGAGAAATATGTCGCAGGGCGTGAGCTGTATTTGATGTTTAAACATTCAGATTTTGAAAATTATGATCGCTCTGCAAAGCAAGACTTACACTTATATCAATCCATATATCCCAATAATTGGTCACTTTATTCATGGAATATTGATTTATTCTCAACCCATAATAAAAACAAAGTAGCTGAATGATGATTAAATCTGAATATACCCATGAAGTATTTCGTAAAGATATCCATTGTCCGCAAGGTTTATTGGAAAATAAAAACTATGCAGAATTGGAAAATTTTTTCAATGTGTTATGGCAAAGTCGAAGTCATAAATTGCCGCAGCTTTGGGAAAATGAATGGTTTGATCAGCCCAAACAAATGTTTAAGGACATATTCTTAAATCACGGCATAACAGCATTAAAACATATCAATGAATGGCATTTGGCTTTTCCAGAAAGCTTTTTCCCTTATATTGTTCGTGTGCGTTATTGGGCTTTTTGGGCAGCTGAATATCGTGGGCAAGAATGGTCAAGCAATGTTACAGATGAAATGTGGGATTGTGCAAGAGAGGCGCAAAAGCAATTGTATGCTTCTGCAATGCAAGCTTTTGCATTTAGTGCGGAGACATGGACAATTGCACTGCATTTATTAAATTCGGCAGTTCACTTGGATGAACCTGAATGGTTTGCAGAGTGGATGCTTAAGCGTCGATATCCTTCAAATTTAGTCCATAAAATAAAACCTTCAGCCCAAGCAATGGCGCAAAAAAGTGGTTTAAATCAAGATTTAAAAATTGATTTACCCCAAGATGTGCCTCAACTTTTACAAAAATATCTAAATTTGAAAGAAGAAATTGATTTACCTCAAGCAGATGCCGCTTTTTGGTTAAAAATATTTCTAAAAGAATCAGGTTTTGGCTTGCTTGCAGTAAGAGATTATTGCTGGTATCTCTTGCCACGATGGGGACACGATCATCAGGCCATTATTGATTTTTCTCAGTCGGATTGGTGTCAACATTTTAGCGAAATCGAAAAAAGTGAATTAAATTATATCGTGTGGTTTGATACACTTGATACAAGTTTTGATAAAGATCAGACACTTGAAATAAAAAAATATATCCAAAAAGCCCAAGCAATCTTAAAACGCCCCTTAACGGAACGTAATCGAGCAGTCATCTATTTAAAATTGGCATATTTCTATTATTTGTTAGATGAAAATGATCCAAGAATTTTATCTTGTTATCAAAATGCTGCAGATTATCCCGTATTCGATGAGTATGAGCTTGATCGCGCAATTTATTTTTGGCGACATAATGCTCAAGA